GCCTGGAAGACAATGAATCCTCCCACGTTTGCGCAAATTAGACGAAAATTTCATAGGGAAGAAAGCGGAGTAGATGGTACCACGGCCAACCGTGTTGCGAATGGATGAATTTGAAGATCGGTACGTTCTGTTTTCAAAAGAGTATTGCCTACGCTCCTCCTCAGTGCGGAACCTCTCCATGATCGTTGCTCCCATAATTAGAGTCGTTAAACGTTGCCCCCGTGCATAACAGATTTACATATTTCGCAATGTTCGTCAATCCGAAGAGGGGGGGGGGTAAGGTACTACAACTGCTAAAAGAGCAAGACTTGCGAATTTATATTATAAATTTACCCTTATTTTTCCATCCATACTCGTTGAACCCTTCCTAACCGACCTGTTGGCGCTCCTAGAAAACATGTGATTCTAACCAGGAAGGTCTTTCAGGGCGTGACGAAGCTTTTTGAAAACGGTCTTTTGCATGATATAGGGGCAGATGCGGGGAACCACAGAACCATGTTCAATTTTTCCTGAACGGCCCTCTGAATACCAGAAAAGGGGTCCCTAGTTCGATTCCTCGCGAATTTTGAAACGTCAACTCGAAATGCAAAAATTTGTTACCACGAGGAATCGAACTAGGGACCCTTTTCTGGTATTCAGAGGGCCGTTCAGGAAAAATTGAACATGGTTCTGTGGTTCCCGCATCTGCCCCTATATCATGCAAAAGACCGTTTTCAAAAAGCTTGTCACGCCCTGAAAGACCTTCCTGGTAAGTAGGAGAAAATTTCAATCATAAGGGATGCTTTTCTCGGAGTCGTTAATCTTAGAAGAGTTTATCAGAGCCGAATCGGAAATGAGGCAATTTTAGCAACCAAATATATGGGAAATTACGGGTGCCCTCAGCTCAGGGAATAAGGGTCCCCGCTCAATTGAAAAAATTTCCTGGAAAAGTCAGAAAAATCTTGCGGATACCGCAAGCTGCCAGCAATTACATACGTATAGAACTTACCGGGTTGAAGATCTCGGTGGTGAACGGCACGGGAGTCATTCTGAAATATTAGAGTTACAAAAAAGTTATTGAAGGCTATTTATTATACGACTGTCATTGGAGCATGGATTACTTCGTTAAGATGTGGAAGAATTCGAATCCGTTGAGTGAGAAGAATGCGAATCTACTGTCATTAGAATTGGCATCTTTATCGATTTCTGTAAAAAAAAGATAGTCGGAATGTTCTAAATTCAGCAAGGTCAAGGTGAAATGCTACAGGGGGGGGGCAAAAAAAAGACATTTTGCCCATGTCGCACTTCGGCCTTTTTTCTTCGCAGAGATTGCCGTCGTTGACGGAAGTTCCTCAGCAAAATATTCCCTAAATGTCCCTCTATAAGTACGCAGGCCCTCCTTCACTGCCCTCACCGTCTTCAGAATATGACGTCATCTGTCACCGTCGTCAAGCTCAAGGAGGCTACCGTAACTGCTTCAGCCTGAAGCTCTACATAATTTCTTGGATCGATTCAACGATGGGATAGTTTTCTAGAGAACATTAGCTCTAACTATGCAAACCCCTCGAATCCCGCCTTAGGAACCCGTTGTATGGTACACGATCAGTCGAGAACCCCATTGAGCTCGACCAGTGCAATGTTTCCAGGGCTAATTCTTCTGATGCCGTCCACGTAGGTGGCCACTATGAAGATTTTCTTATAGAATGGAATGCGCTCTTCAATAATAAGTTGGGACCATTCGGTCTGAATTGAGCAAAGTGTGCTTAAATCCATCTGAAAGTGGAGACAAAATGTCTTTTTTTATTGCCCCCCCCCCCCCCCGACGATAATACTTGAACCGTTCTGGACCGCCAAGAGCATGTTCGCAAATGGATTCGCAGACAATAGAATCAATGATTTTTGCCAGAGAGGTCAAAATGAAAGAACTGTGAAAGAAGAGAGTGGTTCTTTGTTCGTGGAATGTGGTTCGCCACGATTTTAAGCAAATAATGCTGCCATTATGCCCTTATCAGGTACTGATAAGGCTGGCGGTATTGTGCTCGAAAGGTCTAAGGGCCATTATGCCCGAAAAGTGCTGTACTCGAAACGGCCTATCATGGAAATTGAGATGAGACCAAAGATCTAGCCTAGGTCTAATTTACTATTTGACTTATTCTTGCAACGGCTTATAGCCCGATGCGGAAAACGTTTTCGGATAGCAATTGTTTGAGTCAATGACCAGATTAACACAACAACGGTATCGGGACCAAAAAGAGCTCTCAAAGCCTACAAGATTGAACAATTCCTTAAAGGCAAACCCCGGATTAGCCCGACTTGTGGGAAGGATACCGCGGGGGAAATTGTAAGTTCCTACCTACCTAGCTCACTCAGCTTCGCCGCAAAAGTTGCGCGGTAAGGCGCTGATTCATTATCGGGCCTGCAACCATCAACCCGTTGCACGCTTCCCCCACCTCGATTCGCATACTTTCCTCGACAGCGCGTGATCTCGTGTGTGTTGCCTTCTTTGACCGCCCTGCCTCGCCATCGTTTCACATCCGACCTTTTTGAAGGTTAAGGCCTTAATTTCAGCGATCCCAAAGATTTCTCCAGCTTTTCTTTCCATTTTCAGGCCGTCCCGCAGCTCAGTCATCACTACGAAGCGCTCCTATCAGTTTTCATTTCCTGGCGTTGCTTCAACACATTACGACGGACGCGCGTTCTTTTGGTCGATTTACGTAGCTCACCTCCCGCTTAACATCTGTGAACTCAGATGTGAAAATGACAAAAAGAAGCCACAGATAATTGTACAGTTAGCGCTGCCATAAAATTCGTGAGAAGGTCAGGTTGGAAAATGCGGTTGCTATTAGTGAAGCACTCCTATCCATAACTTGCCAGCACCGCCTAGCACCAATCGGTTTACGGACCGTCTATGTACCGTTATTGCAACATTGTCGACGGTGGTTTACAAAATCACTTGTTCCACTTGTGGGGACGAGTATATCGGCGAAGACGGCAACACCGCTTTGTGTACGTATAAAAGAGCACATAGAGGGCAAGAATAGGTCACGATCATCAACTGCTTTAGGAGCCCACAGGGTTCAAATTCATGATAGGGGACGATTTTGAGGTTTCGCCAAGAATAGAAATATCTGCACGTTAACGAACCCTTGAGGCATTCTGGATTCAAGTCAGCAGTCCTAAAATGAATCAGAGGGAAGAAGGCCTCATGATAACGAGGGAGTTAAGACCTTACATAAGATTGGCCTTCCAGTAGTGACTTTCATTTGGAAAGAGTCCGCATTGAAGCCGGTGCTGCTTGGCTCGTGGCTGATTCAAAGAAACGGACTAGATTACGGTGAGTTGTCTACCTCGTGGCTGCCTGATGTTTTGTTAGATCTAGAATTTCTAGGGCAGCGGCGACGTTTGATCGGGTTCTCATAAATTGGCTAGACTTTTGCAGGCTCTGACGAAGGCGAACCCGCCGAAACATTAGCCGATAAAGCATCTTTAAAAACCTCGTGTACAGGGGTTGCCAAAAAAAGACACTTCCCTTTCCATTTCAGACAGCATTAATCACACTTTGCTGAAATCAAACCGACTGCTCCCAACTTAGTATTAAAGAGCACATCCAATCTATCAATAAACGTTATAATAGCTTTCTGCACCAAGGACATCACAAGAATTTGCCATGGGAACCTTGTGCACGGTTCGAGCTCAACTGGTCCTCGATGAGTCATGGAACACCACGACATTATCTGGAAAGCTGGTTGAAGAGGGCATGCTTTTACTCATTATAGGACATCTGAAGGACATTTTGCCGTGAAACTCAACAGCGGCATCCTGTGCGATGAAAACTTGATGATGTGCGCCATGAGGAAAGTGCCTCTTTTTTTGACCACCCCTGCAGAGTTTAATGGAAGAAAGCTGAAGCAATTGAAAAAGTTGTTCATTCGATGTTATGAATATTGTCACAATTTGGTGATTGCTAATGTGAACTCATAGAAGCAAAAGGAAATGGAATTCGTATTTTTTCGTTTTTATTTATTCGTTTTTTTTTTGAATGCGTAAAATTGGAGTTTGTCGACCCGAAGAGAGGAAGGGGATGGGGAGGAGGAGGAAAAGTAGTATAATTGCTATAACAGTATTACAATTTATAGACACCCACTCTTTCCATACTCTTGAACCCTCCTCAGGCAGACGACCCTGTCTGGCGCTCTCTAGGAAATATGCGGGTCTGCACAGGGGAGAAAAGTCGCCAAACAAATCATCAGTTATCTGTTCTTGGCGTCGCTTTAGCTCATATTATCAAAGCTCTCAGCACATGGCATCGAGTGACTTTGGAGCTCAAATGTAGGGATATAAAGGTGGTTCACTTATTTGGAAAGAATTTCCCGGAGTGATCAAAAACGTCCTTTAGAAGCCGCAAGTAATCAACAGTTAGAAAGTAATCTTACCGGGCTGGAGACCTCAGTGATGAACGGCAGGGAAGTCATCCTGAAATATCAGACTTACTAAAAGTTATGAAGCTTATTCATTATCTGACTTGTGATTGGAGCTTGGATTACTTCTTAATTTCTGAAGAACTCGAATCCGTTGATTCTGAAGAACGCGAATCCGTTGATTCTGAAGAGCGCGAATCGGATATTACAAGCATCTCTGTCGATTTTTGTAGAAGGGAAGTCGGGTTCTGAAATAGTCTGAAGGTGAAATGTAAAAGTCTCAGGGCGCAATGCTAGAGACATATTCAACTATCTGAAACGCCAGATGCACTGTTCGCTAAATGGATTCTCAGTCAATAGAATTAATGATTTCAGCCAAAAAGTCATAAGGGCTGAAAAAAAGAGAGTGGTCTCTTTGTTCGTGGAATATGTGGTCGTTCTATGATTTTGAGCTAATAGCTGTCCATGATACCTCTTAATTCGGACTGATACAGCACTGCAGCGGTATTAAGTATCCGCTAAGTCCAACCGGGTGCATATGTGTCCACGCGGGTCGAGAACCACCTTTCCCCATCAGGGAGAATAAGGATCAAAGAACGCTGAGTTCATTGCGTGCTAAACTAGCTACCTGAATTGTTCTTGCAGGTATAAGGCTTATCAGCACGATTGCAACAAAGCTGTTCTAATAGCATTTGTTCAGCGCCATCTGACCCATCGCGCTGATGAACGCACCCACGCTTAATGAACTATATTTCTCGAAGGGAAACCCGGTGGCTCGATATTAAGGATGACACGGCGAAGGCAAATTGGCAAGATACCGTACGTTACGCCTAGGACTCCACTCAGCTTCCGAGTTGCAAAAGCGCGGTGAGGGCGCTTGATGCCTTATCGGCACTACAACCATACGAGACACCGCGTTGCCACGCTATCCTACTCCCACCCGCAAGAGTGAGATAAGCGTGCATTGATCGTAGAATCAGCGTGTTCTCTCCCGTGTTTTGTCTTCTTTGATCGCCCTGCCTCGCCATCGTTCCACATCCGACCTTTTTGAAGGTTAGGCCTTAATTTCAGCGATCCCCAAAGATTTCTCCAGCTTTCCTTTCCACTTTCAGGCCGTCCCGCAGCTCAGTCATCACTACGAACGCGCTCTTATCCCAGTTTTATCCCGGGGCTTGCCTTTAACCACATTCATTACGACGCACGTTTCCACTTTTGGTCGCGTGAGACGGACGTGATTTCATAAGCGCTGCCGCCTAACCTTGATTCTTTGAATGTTAACTGATGAAAATACAAAAAGGAAGTCACAAATTTTTTTTCAGCGATGTTCAATGCATAAAGGGGGTTAAAAAGTTCTCTGACCTGCATACTTGAAGCATCATTAATTACATCTTGAGCTGCAGTTCGAACTCGCTGAAAAAGCTGAGAGCACATTTGAATCTACCAATAGGAAGTTTTCCTTGACTTTAGCACCGGACGACATCAAAAATCCCCACGGGAAGCAGGTGCACCGTTCAGCGATTCGCCTCAACAAAGAATCCTTTAGCAAAATCCGTCTAGCATGCGCTTGATGGATTCACGGCTCCAGTAACACCGGCCCGCGTACGGCAAAAATCAGAGGAGGGTTGTATGTAAGGCCATTTGCACAGGGAAGGGGAGGGTCGAGAAGCTCAACGTACCAACTCAAATAGAATGAAGGTACAAATTCCGCGTCCGCAGGCAAATGGCAAAAGTGTGGATAAGGGGGTCAGTTCCTCTATGACTCCACAGCCGATTACTCCCACCACAAGACCGGGCGATTGATATGGCTCAACCCTGGAGCAGGAAATTGCTAATTCAACTGAAAGCTACATATTCGACTGATATATTAATTTTTGACTTCGATCTGCATTAGCAGCGTGTGGGTTTCAGTGACCGTGTCGAGCCGTTTTCTGGCGAGTGTTTATCGCCTCACCAAACTTAATATTAATAACTTAATAATAATTTTGATGTTCAGAAACTTGTAGGCCTAATAACTAAAGTATTTCAGTGCAAGGGATCAGGACAGCCGTAGCTCAATCGAGCAAAACAGCAACCGCGAAAAACCGCGTTACGTGCTGGAATCAGCTTCAGCGCCCCTGATAGTTCGCTTCCACCAGGAAACTGCTAATGAAACTTCCCCATGGAACTATTCTTACTATTTAGCTTATTATTTGTTTATGAGAGTGCAACCTCGCGTAGGTGCGCCATTCGTACGAAACAGCAGAGTATGCGATTAACAAAGAACTTGCTAAACCCCTTAAGGTGCGAATAGATAAAACCACCCACGTGAACGAAGGGAGTAATATTTTCTTCGCAGCCCGAGTACTTAATAGAACCTTGGAAGATACCCAGATGTATCGTCGTCTTGACCAAAATCGGATTTATGAATATCGGACAAACACGCCAAAACTGAGCTACGCTGATATCTTTCGAGAAGAAAGTTATGACAACCTCTAAAAAGTCTGGCGAAAAACTAATCACTAGCGCACCATACCTGGGATACTATGGCCGACCGAGCTTTGCGACCCCCAGAAACGAAACTCATATTTCGGTAATCAGGGTCGAGCCCCCCTAAATCCAGGGTCAACCCTGAACCCGTTACCATTAAATGTTTTTTGAAGTTTTTATTCACGGTCACCTCTCCCCTCCTTCCTTCAAATGAGAAACAGAGAATATTCATACGAACCGCTACGTTTCACTCCTCGAAGCCACTCCAACTGTTTTTCGCCCCCTCCCGAAAAACACGCGCTTCGAGTGGGGGGGGGGGATTAATTATAGCTGCGCAGACGGTCGAAACTACATTTTCGCACCAGCCGCTACGCGCGCAGCCCTCTCCATCATTAAATTAATTTCCGTGCTACCAAACAAATTCCAAGAAGCCCCCCCCCCCCACAAACCCAACCACTATAACACCCCCCACACCTTAGTCCCAACCGCAGGTTGACCCTGGCAACAATGTGTTCCTAAAAAAACAACCCTTATATGAACCAAGGTTCCAGGCAAAAAGCAACCGTGTTTCCACATGAATTGCACACCTCATCATTAGTTTCTTTTGCAACTTTGAAGGCTCATAACTTTCTTAGAAGTTCACGTAGCAGTTTTAGTGTCCATATTTGTAATCAGCGTCCAAGACTCTATCGATGTACCTAGGTCTCCTTTCAAAGTTCCATGGGAATTTCAAAACATTCCCTGGTCAGAAAGAAGCTTAAGCTATGCCCGCTCGACTGCGCCACGAATGCCACTTACCGCTAAATTTCTCTTTGATGAACTTCATATTGCACCAGCTTCAAGCAGTGGAGAGAGAGGATAGGAAGCCTATGGAAGGTCACCCTTGAGGTTTATTGGACTGATCCTTGCATGTGAAAAATATCTGCCTCCTTTGTGACGTAGAAACTCTGAAGATATTATAAGAGAGCATATGGAATAGGGCAGAATAATGGATAGCCGCTTCGCATCAGCACGCGTCACAGAGGTACAACGCGACACACGCGTCTGTCATCGACCCACTTATTTCTTTGTATAGAAAAATGTACATAAAAAAGTTGTTCATTTGGCGATGATATAAATATTGGCACAACTTGGTGATTGGTAATGTGAGCTCACAAAAGCAAAAGGAAATGTGGAATGGAAGAACGATCATCATCTCGTCAAGACGTAACGTTACATATACAACTTGTATATAAAATTGACAACATAAACGCGCAAACGTGGACAGATCGATCGAAGCGAAATAGCACCATTATACGAATAGAAATGAATAGAAATCTATAGAATCTCCTCCCTAAGGGTCTTAAAACGGACGATTCTGTCTAGGATCTACATGGAAAAAGTTGAGCTTGAGCAAGAAGCGGAAGGTGTTGGTGTAAAAAGGACACTAAAATGGTGGTGGTGGTACAAGGAGCGGTATGCGTACGGATGACTAGAATAAGACGGGGAATCAATGCTCGGGTAACAGACCCGCAGAGAAGAGCTATATGAATGCAAAGTGACAGTACATTCGGCTGCATATGCAGTACATTCTACTCAAATACAAAGTCAACAGAGCCGAATCATGGAATCTCTGAATTAGTAGGGAGTTTCTGAATAAGGATCAAAGAAGGATCTCAACTTCGTTCTGCGTTCAGAGCAACTGGGAAGAGTGTGGCACACAAAAGATGGTTATCGATCGGCGCGCCGAAGGAGAGTTTTCATTTCGCTGCGCGGCACAACGATAAGCAGTGCGTGACTCATTGAAAATGCAACTACACATTGGTGCTACTAAAAGAGCGACAATTGATCGTTGCGACTCTGCCACGCGGCCAAATTTTGTCGCGTTGGGTCAGCGCGCGACATTTGGCTGCTATGAGATTGCGGCCCGCTCACATTTACACGCGTGCGGCTAGCGCGCAAGGAAATTGCTTCCCCATTGGTCGGGCAATGTTAGCGACGCGTTCGGCCGAGCGGTACGCGTGCGGTCGTGGCGAACGGCTGCGCCAAGCAATAAGTAGCATTTATTCAAATTCGTCCAATTCGCGTGCCAGCACTCAAACATTTACGTAGATTAGGCGGCGCGGCTAAAAAGTATAAACACAATTCAGGGGACGAGTGCCAAGCGCAATTCTCCAATCACCTCACAGCACTCAACATTACGCTACAAACACAAATTAGGACGAGTGCCACACCAGTATAGCCCACAAGTTAAATTTGGAGTTGGATACTGATCTATTGCGCCGATCGCTCCAGTGGTCCGCAGCTCCCTGAACGCAGGTATTCGGTAAAGAAGCAGTAGAAAGCACTGTTTTGACATCTTCGATAAATTTGTCTATGCTATGGTTCTACAAGTTTCCAATAGAAGCGATATCCGTTTATAAAGTCCCTAAGATTGCTTACTGGTAATTACAAAAGAGATCACCGAGAGGTCAGGGCAAGTTCGCGAGATCACATGTGAAATGGAAGCATTATGGAATGAATGAACAAGGAGTGATTGATTGAGATCAAGCAGTGAAAGAAAAATGGTGAACAAAAAATGCATATCGATCAAGGGCGCGAAGGATTCTGACGGCGGAAAAGGCTGGCAGAAGTCGATCCAGTGGCTTCAGTCGTCAAAAATCTGTCGAATAGGTTTTCAATTCGCTGAACACCTCGGTGAAGAAGGCGGATGACGAATTAAGTCGAAGCATATCTTCGCTGTGATTTGTCACTATCGTCACACATCGTT